TAGTGAGAGTGTATAGATCTGTTATATTAATGCTAAGGTTACAAGGACTGAGGAAGAGGAGTGATCCAGAAGAACAGTACCAGCTGTAGTTGGCATGACTCCTTCAGGTTACCAGGCTGGTAATACCATAAGTCTGAGGCCTTCCTCATGAGTTCAGCTTCTTCAGCAGCTCTGCTGATAATGGGCAGGCGAAGAACACATAAATAAACATGACCAGTTTAGTGGATATGGAATCTCAAAGATTGAGATAACTGCACTGTCCAAAATGAAGCTGCAGGAAACCGAAGTCTGTTGTTACGACCACATTCTCAAACAACCAAAAGCTGCATCCCACGACTGAAGCACCTGGAGTGATCAGTCTAAGCACAATAATGGAAGGTGCATGCTGATAAGTAGATAGATTTAAGGAAAGTAAAGCAGGGCTGATCCTAAAGGGCCGGAGGAACCTGGGAACTAGTTTTGTGGGCAAACAATCCTCCTGAGCAAACTTCTAGGAGCTACCTTCATGGACAAATTTCTAGGAACCATCCTCTTGGGCAAACTTCCTGGAAGTACCTTCCTGGGAAAACTTCTAAGAATTACCACACAGGGAAAACATCAAGGAACTATCTTCATGTGCAAACATCAAGGAACTGCTCTCCTGGAAAAACCTCTGAAAACTGCCTTCTTGGGCAAACTTCTAGGAACTATCCTCCTGGCCAAACATCTAGGAACTACTCTCCTGGGCAAACATCATGGTACTGTCTTCCTGGGCAAACAACTAGAAACTACCCTCCTGGGCAAACATGAACGAACTACCTTACTGGGCAAAATTCTAGGAACTATACTGATGGAAAAACTTCTATGAACTATCCTCCTGGGGAAACTTCTAGGAACTATCCTCCTGGGCAAAAATCTACGAACTACCCTTTTGGGCAAACATTAAGGAACTACCTTCCTGGGTAAAATTCCAGGAACTACCCTCCTGGGCAAACTTGTAGGAACTACCTTAATGGGCAGACTTCTGGGAACTACATTCTTAGGCAAACTTCTAGTAACTATACTCTTGCGAAAACATCTCGGAACTACTCTCCTGGGCAAACATCAAGGAACTACCTTCCTCTGCAAACATCTAGGAACTACCCTCCTGGGCAAACATCAATGAACTACCTTCCTGGGCAAAATTCTAGGAACTACACTGATGGGCAAAGTTCCAGGAACAATCCTCCTGGGCACACTTCTAGGAGCTGTCCTCCTGGGCAAACTTCTACAAACTACCACTCCTTGACAGACCTCTGAAAACTATCATCATGGGCAAACTTCTAGGAACCATCCTCCTGGGCAAAAGTCCAGGAACTACCCTGCTGGATGAACATCAAGGAACTATCTTCCTTGACAATATTCCAGGGACTAAATTGATGGGCAAACCTCTAGGAACAATCCTCCTTGGCACACTTCTAGGAACTATCCTCTTGGGCAAACTTCTGAGAACTACCTTTCAGGGTGAACTTCTGGGAGCTACCTTCATAGGTGAACTTCTTGGAACTTTGTTCGTGTACAAACTTCTTGAGCTTCCTTCATGGGTAAACTTCAACGTACTACCTTCCTGGGCAAACCTTTAGGAACTACATTCCTGGGCAAACTTCTAGGAACCTCTTCCTAGTCAAACTTCTAGGAACAGTCCTCCTCAGCAAACTTGAAGGAACTACCTTCCTGGGCAAACTTGTAGCAACTACCCTCCTGGGCAAAGTTCTGGGAACCACCCTCCTGGGCAAATTTGTACAAAGTATCCTCCTGGGCCCACTTCTTAGAATCGGCCTTTAGGGGAATGTTTTTGGGAAGAAAGCCAAACACTCCAGAGTGAAGGAGAGAAGAGGTTGGTTTGGGTTCCTTTTATTCAGAGTGGAGGTGCATGGAAAACAGGCCTTTGTGTAGTTAAAGAACTTTTTGCAAAGGGAGGAAATGACAATGTACTGAAGGTGAGATTCTGGAAACAGCTGGAAGAATAAATGGCCTGTAGTAATTCCAATGTTTATTAGTCTCCTAAAAGAACTACCCTGTTGAAACCTCAAAAAACTTTGATCAAAGTTAGTATCTAAATGGTAGCTAATCATGGTGGGCATATTCTGGGCTTTAGACACTTAGGGCCGGATCTATCAAAGGTTTGCGTGTATAAAACGTGAGCTATTTCACTGCGCACGCTAAAAAA